TTGTTATGTGCATTTTTTTAATTAACTTGTAGATATTCTGCACGTACATTCTTATGAATTCCTTTTTCATTGTAAGGCTTTCTACGTTTGTTTTTATGATTTCAGGTCTACCAGGACAACGTGTATGCAGAGGGCTGTAAATTTCACTCCTTTAAGAAGGTGTTGTTTGAGATGGGACCAGAATACTCAGGCACAGTGGAGATGGCCTCTTTCCACTCTACCTCCAAATGCTACATGGGAGAGTAAGTAATGAGAAGCACACACACACACACACACACACACACACACAGGATAAAGCAGGTCGTCTCCTGATTGGATGGTCAGTGTTTTTTTTTATCTCGGGCTCCTCCAGTCTTTATTGCAAAGTGTCTTCCGGCAAAACACTGAACTCCTAGTTTCCCTTGACAGTGTATGAATGGATGAATGAACGATAAGCTGTCTGCAGACAGATGAATAATGTATGTAAGTTCCACTGTGGAAATCTTTTTTTTTTTACAGCCCATCAACACCAGTGTCGGAACTTACCATCAAAAGCCCTTGAATCTCTTCGTCTTCCTAAGTTGACAATTTTGTGGGCATCTTTGTGACACCTCTTTCTAATCCGGAGATATTGGTATTATTCTATTTTTTTCCAGTTTCGTGTTTTTATTACAGACATCGCCAACACGCCTGCTCACTCGCTGTGAAGTTCCAGAAAATCTGACTCTGAAAATGTCCAGAGTTCTGTGCATGTCTGACAGCAGGTTTAGACGGATGACTGAGTGAATGGGACTCATGAGTTGTAGACATAAGAGTAAACTTAATGACTGACTCCACTGGTTTTTGTCAGATGTGGATTCCGTGGAGGTTACATGGAGGTAATCAACATGGACCCTGAGGTGAAGGCCCAACTCATCAAACTGGTGTCGGTGCGTTTGTGTCCCCCCATCCCCGGACAGGCTCTGCTAGACCTGGTGGTCAACCCCCCACAGCAGGGCGAGCCGTCCTACAACACATTTGTGAAGGTATGGAAATAAACTCACGTTAAAGGGATAGTTCACCCAAAAATGAAAATGCCCTCATTATCTATTCAGCACTATGCTGATGGAGGGGTGGGTTATGTGTTGAGTCCACAAAAAACATTGCAAATAAATCCAATATAATTAAAGTAAATTGCGACCACTTCCTCTAACAGAAAAAACAGCAGAGAAAAAAACATGTGGTGTCTTCCAAGAAAAGGCTTCATTTACAGCACGTTTTCATCCTCTCACTCTCCTTGTTGGGTGAACTATCCCTTTAAACACACCCTGGAAACACTCTTGCACACTCTAGCAAACACAGAATATTCTTACACTATGTAAATATTTGTAAATACCAGGATGTAACAAAGCCTGTATTGACTGGGTTAAAGTCGTCATGCAGCTCTGAGTCAGTTGTGAATACTCAGCTTTTGGCTGCTGAAATATGACCTGTGCTTAATTGTGTCTGTTACATGGGATTAAAAGACACTTCGTCACATCTTAAAGTGGAGTAGGAGAAAGCTTTGAGCTTTGTCAAGAGGAACATCATACATTATTGTGTCCATTAGGCCCACGGTCAGACGAAAGCATTGTGCAGTTTAAAGGAATCCATTAGGTCCACATCGTTTGTATGTTCACAGTGTGTAGCAGCAAGATTTATTGCTCTATGTGTATATGTATTACACAACTGCATTCTTCAGCATGAGAATATCATTAATGGATGTTTAGTACGTTCTAAATTTTATTTTCTATATTTAGAGACATGTTTTTAAAATGACCTTACATGATATAATGGTGTGACATGAGGTATTGGTTCATGCTCTTTACTTCTCCCCGTATAGAAATAAACACATACACTACCTACTCTCATGACTGACCTGCCAGAGGATTTGATTACAGCTTCTAGTAACCAGAGGACCAAGTCCCGCAAAAATTTTTATCACCACGTCAGTCAAATGATCAAACCCAGAGCAGCAATAACAGTAAACCTCGCCCAGAGTCATCTTACATCATGTTTGGTATTTGCTGCTCCCGTCCACCTTCAGAGGGTGTGATGTTACACTGCAACAAAGACATACAGAGAGCGCCGCACAGCTCACTCGTGTTATACTGTCTTCTCCTGAGTCTCAATTTAAAGACTCGTTTCACATCCAAACCATAAATAACAAGGCCCCAACATTTTAAAGAAAACCAGTGTGTTTTAAGAAGCTGCTGTTCTCCCACAGTTTGGTTCAGGTGGTCACCAATACCAAGAAAATACATCATATGAACTCTTCTGGGGGCATGGGAGGGGCAAACACTTTAACAACACAAGGTACAAGTACTGGAGATAAATACTGATGTCATGAAACTGATATCTAACTTGGTCGCTCCATGTAAATAGTAAAGGTGATAATATTGTTTTACCAGTAGCTCCTGCAGAAGGTGCAGGGTTCAGCCTGGCCTTTGCATCCTTAGGAGGGGCAAGAGCCCACATCATTGTCTGGCTGGATCCAGCACCCTCGCGCACAGCGAGTTTGGGGGTATTTCCTTATCGTTCTAGGCTTGTGTTGATGTGGCCTAGAGCTCTGACAGTTTGACCTTTTCTTTCTCCTGCAGGAGCGGACGGCGGTGTTGGCAGCGTTGGCAGAGAAGGCCAGGCTAACAGAACAGATCTTCAACACAGTACCTGGCATCACGTGTAATCCGGTCCAGGGGGCCATGTACACCTTCCCCCGCCTCAATCTATCTCAGAAGGCCATCGACAAGGCCAAGGTCGGCTCTTCATTCATACTGTGTCAGCCTGATTTATGAATCTGTGTAGACAAATACAAACGTGTGTGTGTGTGTGTGTGTGTGTGTGTGTGTGTGTGTGTGTGTGTCTATAGGAAGAAGGCCAGATCCCTGACATGTTCTACTGTATGAAGCTGCTGGAGGAGGAGGGGATCTGTTTGGTGCCCGGTAGCGGATTTGGGCAGAGAGATGGAACCTATCACTTTAGGTGAGTAGAGAAAGTTTAAAGTTTGGTTTGAATTCGATATGTGATGACATAAAAATTTGGTAAAATGTCGATTGACAGCTGAGACCAACTTGTGATTGGTGGAGTTTGTTTAATCCTGATAAAAATGTTTCATTGTTTCCTCATAAAAATATAATTGCTTGTGGTTTAATTGCACTTTTAACCTGAGCCCCTTTTTGTGTTACGTCCTCCTCTGCAGGATGACTATACTGCCGCCCACTGACAAGTTGAAAGTTGTGCTGCAGAAGATCCGCGACTTCCACCTGCGGTTCACACAGGAGTTCTCATAAGGATCCTCCAACGCTGCATCTCCAGAACAAACTCACATCAGTTCCAGTATCTTCAAGTGCCTTTGAGCCCATTTCACGAGTGAAGAACCTTCAACGTTTCATTTAGAGAGCTAGTGAAAATATGTGCAGTCAGGATTTCTTGCTCTTATGCTCAATGACCTTAACCGGCCAATTTTGTTAAGTTCAGAAGTTTTTTTTAGATGGATAATATATTTCAGACGTACTTGTCATAGGTTCATCTCTCTCCCGCCAAGGACTTTTTGTTTTACAAGAGTGTAAAGGCTCATTTATTCTCAACGTTAGATGGAGCCTTCTGTCCGTATTCAGGTTCATGTGGGAATGTATTTAATCGTCTCACTGACTACATCAGTTAGCAACTATGATTTTGCTTCTTTCTTATGAGGTACATTATTAACTATCTCCTCTCCCTTCAACATGTTTGTTTTGTCAGGAACCCGACTATGTGCTGCCCTCTATTGGATACATTGCTTTACAACCATTCCAACATGAAGGACACATGGAACTATAGTCAGTGATGGTTACCTCTTTGAAAAGATGCGTCTGTTTTCATGCAGAGGCAGAATAAATGAGCCTTTAGGTGATTACTTGATTGACCTGGTTGTCTGTGAGTATGACTGAGTCCTACCAGTGAAATCCTTAACCGTCTCAGAATGTAGCCATTTCTTTTACTAATTGTTCTTAAATGAGATTAAAACATGAATTTCTAAAAATACATTTTTGAGGTGTGTGCAATGCTGGCGCTTACATTTGAAATGTATTTGACAAAGCCTTTCTGTCTTGTATGTTTTCATTCACAGTAACACAGAGTCTCAGTTGAGTGTTGGCACGCGCCATCATTTTCAGTTTTATTTAAAAAGACTTAAATCTTCAACAGTGCTTACATGCTTTTAGAAACAGAAGCTGAATCTCTTGGAATGAACAGAAACTAAAATGATGATTGAACGTGGTTATCGTCACAGCAACTCAGTAACACCGTCAAACCTCTCAGAGGCCCCTCCCCTAAGGGTCCTCCCCTCAGGGTCCTCCAAGTCTCTGCCCGAGCACAGTAAGAGTTCTTAAACTACTGGTCAGGAGCAAGCGTTTCAAAGTTCATCTCTCTGCTGTGATAGTTTTGTGGCGTGCTTTTCCAAAAACTTACTAAGTCCCTCTACTGTTCTGTCTCCCCCTTCCAGTTTGACGGGGCTCTGCTTGTTGTTACTTGGGGCAAAGTAAATCGTGGGGAAGCCCTCCACTTTGTAGCTCTCGTTTGGCACGTCGTTAGCGGAGGCGTCCATCTTGGCGATCACCAGGTCCTTCTCTCCTTTGTACTTTTTGCCCAGAGCCAAATAATCAGGCTCCAGTTTCTTGCAGTGGCCGCACCAGGGGGCGTAAAACTCAATCAGGACGTCTTTCTGAGTATCCATGACGATGTCGTCAAAGGTTTTTCCAACCACGACCTTCACAGGTCCTTTGTTGTTCTTTGGCACTGGCTGGGACTTGATGATGGGTTTGAGCTTTCCTGTGGAAATGAGAAAGAAGAAGTACATGTAAAAACCCAAGACAGAAATTTGGAAGCTGCAAGGTTTGTGTTCTGTGATCGTATGAGCAAAATGTCACAATTATAAAGGTTAAAACATGTTTTTGATAAATGTCTTTACATGCTTCAAGGAAAATGTGCCACAAAATCCAAACAAAACATTTCTGCATAACTGCACAGGAAAAAAAGCAACAATTCGACACTCACCTTTCTTAAATGCCATAACAAAGTCGTGCAGCACCTCAGAGTCAAACTCCTCGGGCTCCATGGCAAACTTCTTGCCTCCGTCGGCAAGAATTCCCACGTTAACTTCCTCCCCACTCTCACTCAGGCCGATGCTCTTCAGCTCGTCTGCGTAGTCTTCCTCATCAGCGATGGCAAACGTGTACTCTGGGAAGTCTTTGGCCACGTCAAGCACCTTGGACCTCCAGAACTGTGTAGCTAAAAATTAAAGAGAAATAAAGAGACATAGTAATAAAACATTGTTAGGTGTCTTTAAATTCAGTTAAAATATGCTGGATTATCATTAAAATCATTTGACAGAGACAAAACCAAAACAGCATTTCAACAAACTCACCTTTCTTGTAGTCAAAGCTGAAGTCGATTCCGTAGTACACAACCACCAGGGGTCGTTTGGTGTAACGTTTAGGATCATTGCTTGGTTTCCTGTGGCCCACCAGAGGAATCACATGCTTTTTGAAGAACTCCTGCACCTCAGACACTGATGTGGAGTCCTATGAAATGAAAAAGATGGAGTTCATGTTTCAGAACAAGAACTATGGATAAAGCAATATTTAAAGTGTTGACAGTTTATTTTGCAACATCAACATTAAAACTGAAAAGAGCGTGAATCAAGGGTTTTATACTGAGATAGAGATTCGTACCTTGAATGCGAGCTTGTGTGATGCTGGCTCATACTTGGAGCGGAACTTTTCAGGCTGAGTGATGACGACCTGACCAGGTGATGCTTTGAGCAGTTTGGCCACTTCAGAGCTGAAGGTGTGACGGAAGGTGAAGTCTTCCCTGAGAGCGTTACCTGACAGACAGACGAGCGACAGTGAGATAACATCCTCAGATCTGTTTCACTGGTATTTGAAGAATATCAAAGAAATACGTCAAATATAATAAAATGGTCTATATTACTTATACTACAGGTCAGGTCCTAAAGGTATAACTACTTACAGGCCTCGATGTAGATCTCATAGGCTGCATCCTCGTCGCTGGAGAACACGCCCACGATGACGGCGTCGTCGCCATCCTTGATGAGCTCCTGCACCTGCTTTCCTGCCTGGACTTGTTTGGAGGGAGGCCCTGCCTGCTCACCCATGTAGTCAACAATACCTGAAGAGAAAGTGAAAGAGGTGGAGCTCAGCTGATGGATGAACAAAAATGAAACATGCACACAGAACGACCTGCAGGCAAACTCGAGCAACGTTTCCCGCACAAAGAAATCCTGCTGCATCGGTCGTCAGTTGGATCGTCGAAAAAATTCACGATCATACTAAACGACCCTCATCGGTCTGCACCTCACTGGCCGAGTCTAATTCTCTCAGGAATTGTTTTTACATGCATGAAAAACAGCACAACACCTACCATAATTCTCTCTGGGTCCGTTGTAGTCAAACACCTTGCCCTTCCTGAAGATCTTGAGGGTGGGATACCCTGTAACTCCGAAGCGTGTGGCGATATCGCTCTCAACGGTGGCGTCCACCTTAGCCAGAGGAATGGATGGAGAGCGCTGGCTCAGCTCCTTGGCCGCCTTCTCGTACTCTGGAGCCAAACGCTTACAGTGTCCACACCTGAAGGTCATTTATAAGAAGTAAATAATGAGGGACATTATATTTAAGTGCTGCTATTAAAATGCACAACTATCACATCCATGTAAGTGTAAGTCACTTCTAAAGGAATCTACAGTCAGTCAGACTGACCATGGGGCGTAGAACTCCACCAGGATGATGTCTGCGTTGTTAACGATCTCATCAAAGTTGTCTTTGGTCAGCACCAGTGTCGCCTCAGGTGGAGGCTTCCAATCTGGCTGAGCTACTTCTGTCACCCGATCCACAAGTGCTGCAGCAAACAGAGCCAACATATTAATGCTCATTATTTTTCAAAAGATGCAGAGTTTGTGTTAAAAGGTTGTGAGGACACTTCACAACAGGAAATGGAACTGTTCCTACCTTTCTGTGTCCTTTCTCCATCGTAGTCCACAGGCTCTCCATTTTTCAGGATCTTGATGGTGGGATAGCCTGACACCTCGAACCTGCTCGCCAACCCACTGGCTATCGTCGCGTCCACTTTGGCCACAGGTATCGGAGGATCGTTCTCCTTGAGAGCCTGAGCGATCTTTTCATACTCTGGTGCAAACTGTTTGCAATGGCCACACCTAAACGAATAAACGAAAGAACACCGAAATATTGTTTAGGATGTGAAAAGAAGTATGCAGTAGAATTTGCATAGGGAATGGTTTCAGTTTCTTCTGCTCCTCTGCTATGCATCATTTATTTTTGACTTCTCAACATCTTACCAGTTGGACAGCAACCAAAAATAATTACATTGGATAAAGTGTAACATGATTAAAGCAAATCTCTCTAGATGAGAAAGTTCAAACGTACCATGGAGCATAAAACTCAACTAAAACCGTGTCTTTCCCTTCTATGAACGTGTCGTAGTTGTTGTCGTTGAGAATCAGCACCCCGTTCTCTTCTTTCACCTCCGTGTCATCTTCATCCTCATCTTCATCCTCATCACTGTCCTCTTCATCAGCCTCCTCCCTCTCCTCTGTGGCATCTTACAGAAAATAAAAAGAGATACAGGTTGATTTCAGGAGGAGGAAATCTTGGACATTGTGTATAACTGCTTGACACAAATGCTGCTTTTTCACTCGCAAAGTTGTGCTCACTCACTTTAGCACCAAATATCTCAGTGAATGTGGAGCTCAAGTGATTCAAACAATTATATATTGGATGATATAAAAGCTGGTTTGCCAAACACCATAAACCTCAAAGAACTGGTTTCATTTACCAATGAGGTTCTCAGAACTCTGAACAAAGTGCCCTCCAGGCTCTGCAGACACACAAATCACTTTTGTTCCACATTTAACTGAGATTTGAGATGCCACACTGAGACGAACTAGTGAGCGATGAAAAAACTTTTTACATTTGTGACAGTTGTGCAGTTTTAGTTGTGGTCTTGTGTTCGATCTCAATGTATGAATTGACAAGACTGATTTCCAGATGTGCACATTCTGTCCGTGTTACAGGTGCGTGAATGTGTGTTGCTGCAGCCAGTGAAGCGAAATGTGACAGCAGCGGTTTCTCAACATGGGATCTGTGCGCCTGCAATGAGAAGAAGGTGCAACTGTTTGTGTGAGAGGGAAACGTGCTAGAAGTTTGTGACTGACTCCCACGTGTGACTACACACAAAACTGCAAACCCCACAGTCCCAGGATGTTTTGCACCAGCTGCACGGACACGTCTGTTCCATCCCAGAAGGGGAATTCATAAGCTGATTCACAGGGGTCAGGTCAGGTCCGTGCGTTTTTGAGTGTGCGGCACCTCTGTTGACATTAGCCCATCCTGCGCGCTAACTAGCATGCTAACAGAGCTAGCAGAGCGTCTGCAAGAACTAGTCACAATGACACTAGCAGCAGCAGCAGCAGCAGCAGCAGCATGTTTACTGGACTCACTCGTATTTAAAGGCTTGTGTGCGGCTCAGTTTTACCTTCTTCACATCTGCTGACGGTCACAAGAAGAGCGACGCCGAGGAGCAGCAGCAGCAGCAGAGCGACCTTCCTCATGGTCCTCAGATGATGATGATGATGATGAGGATGAACCGCGTTATCAAGCAGGAGCTAATTTAACTTAGCTCGTTGGTGAATGTCATCAAAGTGTTCGACCCACAGTCCGGATCTCTACTCTGTGAGTGTGTGTGTATGTGTCAGTGTGTGTGAGAGTGTGTGTCATACAAACTAATCACGTCTGAAGTCACACACACACCACCTCCCCAGTCTGCAACTTGTCTGACTTGCCACGCTGTGATTGGCTCTCCCCGCCGGCTCTCCTCCAATCACAAGTCGCCACTCAACCCCTCAGTCACATACGTTGGAGGATGTTATTGGATGGTTCTTATTTATTTATTTGATGATGGTATCTGATCAAAATCTGAACTTTAGCAATACTTTACATCATTATCATCATTAAACATACTCTGAGTCTGAGGTTTTATATGTTGATCATGAGGAATATTCATAGTTTCTGTTCCTCTGAATGTGAAGATGTGTGAACTCTCAGAGCTGCACTGACATTATTATGCAAAGTTCACATATTGATCAGATATATCATCATCATCCTCTAAAAAAAAATTTTAAGTCAAATTATAACATTATTATATAATGGTGTTTATCTTTCTTTCTTTCACTTTTTTCCATGAACTAGTTTTACTTGCTTTTATCAATTCGGCTTGTAAAGCACTTTGTAACGTTACTTTGAAACGTGCCATATACATTATTACTATATTAATCAGGATGTTACTGCTTCCTGAGTGAGAGACAATATCCCAGAAAGACGATTTAAAAATGTTTTCCTTATTATTAAAGTGCGTGCGAACTAATACTGCTTTGCAAAAAAAATGATGTGGCTCTCCACAAAGGAAGACTGAAGAGGCTTAAAGATAAAAACATATATTTATAATTATCTGATTTCTAAGTTAAAATAAGTCACTTTATTCATTAAGTTTTTATTCACAAGCTAGACCAAAAAATATTTTCAATCATGGATCACAAAGCCTTGTATTTGTTTTATATACCATAATGATAATTTGTTCATTAATCAGTCACAAAATCATGAACTGTTTGCGTATAAAGGATCAGGATTTCTAAAGTTGGTTCCAGGAGCAGTTTGGAGATTCAGGTAATAGCATTTACCAAAGTAGATAGAAAACAAGTCTGTCCTATTCTACACATCTTTACAGAAGAGAAGCTCTGACAATGCAGACTTGATGTCTGATGTCTAAAAAGGTGTCTAAGCCTGAAGAACCTGCTACACCTTCCTACCCTCCTGTTTTTCAGCCTCTGTACTTCCAGGTTCCTCGTGCACCAGAACCTCCACCACCACCTCTGTGTGGGTGGCCTGAATTTTACTCAACCAGCTACTGTCATTTGTTTGCTTCTCCAGATCATCTTCTGTCCATATCCTGATGAGTGATGTCGAATCCAGGAGGGACAGACAGTTATGTCCCTTTAAATAAGTCTGGCGCTCTCTGTCATTTGGATTTTCTTCATCCCTTTCTCCAGTTTTCTGCAGAGCATCAGATGGTAAAAAAACGGCAGAGGAGGGATTCTTTCTCCGCTGGCCTCCTCGCTGCAGCATCTCTAGTTCAAGCTTGGACCTGGTAATGCAGAGTCAGACAAACTAACCATTACTACATTGTTAATTAATGATATTTAAATACTACTAAGAACAAATATCACTACCTGATTGTCTCTTCGGCCACAAGTCTTCTCACAAACTCCTGCAGAAGAAACACAAAGATGTATGTGTGGGTGCAGGCACAGCATGCATGTGTCTGTGGTGCGTGTTTGACACGAGGCAGACTCACCTGTGTGTCCGTGTTGGACGGTTCCTGCACAGATGAGGTGACGGGACTCTGCTCCTCAATGTCATGACGGAGTTTCTGGGGCAGCGTGTGGTGCAGGCAGTTGGAGAGAGCATTGAGTCTGAACAGCAGCTCGTCCACTAGGCTCTCGAACTCTTGAAGGTAGTACGTCTGACAAACAAAGGAGTTGAGATAGTCCATCAATCAAACTAAAAGGTCAAAGAACACGTAATTTCTGGATATGGATGTGGGAGAATGTGTCATCTGTCTTTATACACTGCCTATGAGTGAACATAAACTTGTGTTTTCAAGGCCTAAGCAGCTTCTTCCTCACTCTGCTTTCCACGTGGTCATCAATCCATTTGAGTTCACGCTGCCCAGTGACCTCAGAAATCCTCCGTCTGATGTAGCTGGCTAATTCTGCCAAGGTCAAGACGTCCCACCTGCTCTGAGATCTTTTGGCAACTCTAACCAAGGCAGACACCAAACTGAGAACCTGCAACAAAAACTAACAGTGATCTCCATTCTGACAGATTGTTTCTTCCACTGAGTCTGTGCAGCTGTGCAAAGACTCCATGTATCAGTCAGTCATCTATCCATTCATTCATGCATAGAAAATGTTGCTATATATTTACCATTGCAGTCCACACCACAGTGGAAGACAAATAGAGAGTTACACAGTACAGGAAATCTCGTCCAGAGAGAAGGGGATGGAGGCTCCTGCTGGGTCTTAGACCCCAGTAGTGACAGAGCAGAGACTGAAAGGAACGAGGAATGGAGCTGAAAGCCCAGGAGCTTTGTGCAAATAGAAGATTACCAACACAGGACAGCGCCACCAACAGGATCAGACCTGAAAGCTAGGACAATGTGAGGGTGAGTCTGTGTAGGGAGTTCCACAAGTTTCTAACCAAATCCATAGTTTAGAATCGTAACAGTCTGACAATTTGGTGAGAAATATGCATATGCACAAATAAAGTATAATATTTGTTTTTACTAGAATCCTATCCATTTACTGTTAGAAATAAAAGATATGTTTACATTTGATTTTCATTCAACTGTGACTGTCTATTTCTGCACAGCAGAGGCAGTGCTTGGAATTGACACTTTCCGTACATTGTGCTGCTTCTCTTTGTGTTTACCGTTGGCCAGAGGAGGCTGGAGAGTGAGCGAGTCAGCAGTGCAGCAGAGGAAGCCAAGGTCCTGTTCACGCTCAGCACAGTCACACACTTCAAGGTGAGAAGGAAAAGTGTAACACCACGCAGAGCACGGACATCCTGCAGAGACAGAACCACATTTTTCATCAATGGAAAGCATCACTCTCCTCTTTAATTTCTCACATTGTGATCTCTCACTCACACAACAGGACCTGACAGTTGGATTCTCCTTGTGTATTTATCAAGGGCGTGTTTAGCAAAAAAAAAAACCTTATACAAATGTAATAATGTTTTTTCGATAAACTAATCATAATAATCATATAAAAAGGGGCCTCTCATGTTTCATGGGAATATATTATTATAGTATATTGAAACAGGACTAGTGAAAAGCTTTTCAACGTTAAATATTGTTTTTCTTATCTCTCTCTTTCCCTGATTTAAGTTTTTTGTGTCTTTCTCACTTGTTCCCATGAAGCCAGGATGCTGACGTCAACATGTCCTCTGTGTCTCTGCAGCAGCTCCACAGCCTCCATGATGATGACGGAGCGATAGATGTAATAAATGTAATACACGAGGGTCACTGACAAGAGAGTGAGCTGAAAAAGAGAGAGCGAGGTATATTTCTTCACTTCATACTCATAATAAAACCTCTGCTGTTTGCTTTGACCTTCAGATACTTTTCTGTGTGGTTTACTTAACAGGTATGTTGGTTTAACAGCTACAGGTTAGTTTGCCCTTGCAGCCCGGACACAGTGAACTTGTTTGCACTGCACGGTGCAGGGCTGAGTGTGTGTGAGTCTATCTTGGAATTATTATCTTTTTTGCCAGTAAAATAGGGGATGAACAGGATCAGACACAATTTGTCAGGCTTTTTGTTCTGTATAAATATCCCAGTTACTTATTTTCTTTCCTGATGCTTTTACAGTCTTTGTTTTTAATTCTATAGACTCTTTTTCTTCATATAGCCCCCAGATGTCTAGACCATGTGCACATATCATATATTATTATTTTCTGGTTGGATACAAGTGCTGTATTGCTTATATACTTCTAGCCAGTTGCGGGGTGTCCTCCAGTATCCCATCAGCCCTTGCAGCCTCATGGCGCACGCTTGAAGACAGAGTTGCAGTAGAGACAAGAGGAGGAAGATGAGCTGGAGGGGATGAAGAGGAAACATGAAAAACCTTTGCAACAGAAACTGGTCTAAAATATGACAAGATGTGTCAGTGCAGAGTTAGAATCCCTCTTTCTTTATAAGGGCGTGAAAGACCAAACTGAATAAGTGTTTTACCTGGCACACCATAACAACATAGTCCCACACAGCAGGAGTGTGGTACACCCTGACAGACTGCACTTTAGAAGAGGGGACCAGGACACTGTTGGAGCTCTGCTCAGTGAGCAGGGTCACACTGGTGAACAAGTTGGGTGCAGGGCTGTACAAGGTGAACTGCACCTTCAGGGCCACCGTCCGTCTGCCCAACCAGCCGCCTGAGTGCAGGAGATCCAGTTTGGATGTGGCGTCGGACCTGATGATGATGATGACACTGAATATCACTGGGATGAAATATACCTGATCCTGCGAGGAGTTATTTCAGAGATCTCCTCCACCATGTAAGTGTCTGTGCAACTCTCACCTTGTGTGGCCTAAGCCAACTGTAGTACTCAGCCCCAAGTAGCAGCCCAGGCGACCGCATGTACTCTGGGGCGTTGCCGTGGCAACCTTGACATTTGAGTGAGTGTAAGTGGACGCTCCGCTCCTTGAGAAGAATGAGCGAAGACGTTCTGGTACAAAAGTCACACTGGGAACCTGAATAGTCACACACAGAACACACACTCTGAGTGAATTGAATCAAACTGCTGAAATCATCGTGTGATAACTTCGATAAAGTTACAGTAAAAGTAATGTTTTCTACTTTCACAGCCCAAAACCTGCTGCTGCTGTTTCGTAAACTGGATTTTGCTGTTAAAATTAAAGTTCAGAATGTGGATTGTAAAGGAAATCTTCCCTCTACATTGAAAACACATGGAATCCACCAGTGGAGTCATTTGTGACCTGGGGCCATTTTTGTTAAACAGCGCCTTCTACAGGAGAGTGTGTTGAAACACATGCTGCTATGTTAAATTAATTTAAAATATAGTTAGTTAATAGGAATTAGTTGATTATTTGCAATGTCAGTGAAATATTACAAGTCAAGTCCAGACTGATGTGGATGCTTTTTCCTTAAACTGCTGTTTACATATAATATAATATTTATTTTCATGAGGTCACACACCTCTTTTTATTACGTACCTGATCCTGGAACGAGCTGGATGCCTCTGACTTCCACAAGATTGGTTCTCCCATCAAGATGTGTGACTGCTGAATGACACCACACGACCAGGATGTGATTTATATTGATAAAAAGTAAAATAAGACCTTTTACCAATAAGAATAGATTTGTACACATGTTTGAGCTAAATAACGATTCCTGACAGATTGAGAGCAGAACTGTTTCAGCAGCTCACATGAAACAGGATTGTCTTAAGATCTCTGAGCCATCGTTTACCTCAGTTTTGGTCGATGCATTCTTGTACAGCAGATTGAGTAGACTGGTCTGTGTCCACTTCCACCAGTCCTCATGTGTTTTTATGGACATAAAGTTATTATCATCATTCCTGTTGAAAGAGAAAATACGATTTTAGAGCAAGACAAAGAGAGTGTGTACGTGTGTGTGTGTGCATGTGTATGTGTGTTACCATATTAACTGTTTCCTGACAGCTTTATTGAGGTGGTGATGGTGACTGAATGAGCTGCCATACGTTACACACAGCATCAGGGCAAACATGGAGACACAGACGCACAAATCCCTGGATAAAAAGGAAAAAAGTAATAATTCTTCTTATACACACACACACACACACACACACACACACACACACACACACACACACACACACACACCTGAGAACGTCATGGATGAGAGTCTCTCTTCTTTTCCTCCCACGACCTCTCCTCAGCTCTGCCGGATTCGGTGGCCGCACAAGACGCAGGTAGCGAGCTCGCTGACGAGCAGCCAGCAGCTGTCAATAAATCAGAAATACTGACTAGATGTTTCAGTGGAAAAGAACAAAGCTGATTTTTTTTAAGTAAATAGATTGTGGCTGATACCGTGTCAAGGTCTGAGCATGTGTCCTGAGGGAAAGCAGGAGGCCTGAACGACTCCTCTAGTCGATTAGCACCACTGTGGCTGCACAGTTGAATCTCAAACTCTCTAATTGTAGAGAAAGTATGAAAGTCTGTTTTGTTTCTGTACCAACAGGAGACGATCACTGCCACGGTGAGTATCTGGAAAAGAAAAATAACTATATCTCCATTGCAAAGATCATTCATTTTAAAAACATGTAGTGAGAACAGCAAGGTATTCATTTACCACGGCCGGCTGGATGAAGAAGATGCAAGAAACCAGAGAGAGGAATAGGGAGTGAATCCAAAGCAAAACCTTGCTGCTGCTGAATCTGACACATCACACACAGACCCAGTTAATCAATAATCAATCACTCATATATTTCAACAATCATCCATTTAACACCATCACACAACTACTACCTCATTCCCAGCACTGCAGAGAGCACCAGGCAGGAGAGGGACAGCAGCAGACAGAGGGTCCAGGCCAAAGATTGACACCATTGTGATGCTGGTCCAACTTTTCTCCTGTTCAGTTTGTCCATTAAATGGTAACGCTTTCCTTGAGGATATTCTGTCTTCTCCTGAGTGTCTTGATCGACATCTCTCATACTGGACACAACATCTTTCTGGGTGCCACAAAACTTGCTGCTTTCACTTGAAAGATCAATGTCTTTTCCACGAGTTGCTCGATCGTCATTTTCCCCTTTTGAAATCAGTGACAAATTCCAAATTACCGGTCCGACGCTGCTCTCAACTGCTGGATCATCCTCCTTTTTTGCCATCACATCTGACTGGTTTGCCTGTTCTTTATTTTCCAGGATCACAGTGGACACTGGGAGCAAGTTTGTTCCCTGCAACACAGAAAAAGAAGGGTGAGGAATGAGGATGCACAAAGACATAGAAAAATAAATAACAAAAGATGAATGCTCTAACTGTGACCTGGTATTTCCTCCTCCAGGTTTCTTGCATCCACTGCTGCAGACGGCTCCAAGAGGGATGGAACACACTGTGATTTAGTGGGAGGGCATCTGTGAGGAGACAGGACATGAGAAAATATCTCATCAAACCTGGAAAAATGCATAAAGGTGGATGTTGATAAGTCTTATCAGGTCTGAAAACAAATTACTTCATGCAAGCCTTAATTTTAATAATGCCTTTTTATTGAAGTTTTGGGTGTTTTATTTTGAATCCTGTTTGGCAGAATGGGACATTTTATAATTAACAAAGAAAGGAATAAATATCATGATTAAAAGATGAACAGCAAAATATTACATTAGAAAATGTGTAAGAAAAGACATCAAGGAATATGCACCATCTTCTAATGAAATACTTAAGAGAAACAGGACTGAAGAAAATCATTTCATTTCAGGTTGGTTTTGTTTTGTTTGCTGCCAGTCTACTGCTCCACGCTCCTGTCCAGCAGGTGGCGGTAATGCGCCTATAATCTGGTTTGCCAACCGCCAATTCACACCAGAACAAGAAGAAGAGGAAGCAGGAGCAGGAAGTTACTTGGGCGGCAGGTAAATATGTATGTACCGGAGAAAGAGTTGTTTTTAAGACGTGGTAAAGTTTTCTGATGGATTAATAAAGCTGGAGTGGGAACAAGGTAATGTGTGTTATAACACCATGTCATTCTAATTTACCTGTAAACAGGTGTTTGAATGTATCACTACTGTTACAGCCTTGCTATCGCTAGTAAACACAGTGAATGTAATACCCATGAGCCAAACATTGCGTTAATGCTAGTTTTCTAGCTTTTCACATGTGTCATACTTGTGGTTAAATGATATTTATGCTCATGTTTATGTGTGTAAGAGTTAGTTGACTGTTGTGTGTTCACCTGAAGCTCTAATGGTGTTTTGAAAAGCAAAAGGAAATTCATGTTCATATTATGACGGCAGAACTTAAATAAAATTGCTTTTGGAACAAAATTAAGCTTCTGGGGTTTGCTACAGTGGGAAAGAGATGATGATTGTTCACTCACCAACTCCTTCTTATTCATGTAATTATTACCCAATCAGGTGGCAACAGTAAAGAAAGAAAAGGAAAAAGTCATTGACTGCTGAAAAGATTGCCTTGTTTTTCAGGGAGATCAGAAGATAATAACTTGTTTGAGTGTTTTTTAAAAAATAACTTTAAAAAGTATGAAGATTTCTGCTGCTGTAACAAATACACCTGTTTGGTGTATTTGTTACAGCAGCAGCTCCTCTGGTACAGGAAGCTGTAGAGATCATGAGGATCTGATATATGATATATGCAAGGCCAGATGGAAGTATGTGATTGGTGACGGTCATATCATTTAAAAAGAACATATCTATTTTTGTACATAAAGTCACGTAAAAAAATAACTGGTTTTACATATGTATTGCTGTTGCTCTGTTTACGTTACACACTGTTGCTTTGAGAAAGAGGATAGATTTTGTGTCACCTTCAAAGTCATCATTCTCAGTCTTTCTCCCTTTTGCATGTTGGGGCTCCGACCTTGTCAGCTTGACCTCATGCAGTCGAAACAGAAAAGATATCAATGTTGTTCCGGGCAACACTGCCACCACACTCAATAGTCCTGTTGTCAGAGAGATGGCGGATACGTCGAGAATACCCAACTCCATCGGTAACTGTGAACAAGGGATTAGAAGTGACAACTGTAGGAGAGACCTTGTTTAAGAACATTCATATAACAAATTCAAAACTTTTGACGGTCTTAATAAATTACCTGATCATCCATTTGAGATATGATTACTGTGTTGACACATGCGTACCCCAACAGCAGCAGCAGACACACACTGAGTCTTTGAGTGTGTGTGAACAAGTTAGGGCAGGGGCAGCGGAACACAGACATCCAGATGTGGAAGTCGGCCAAGAAGTCAGATAATTTAAAGCACAACATCTGCAAGCATACAGGTGGAGACCCAGGGTCACATGTGAGTAGAAAATAAAAGTGTGAGTGTTCAGATGTGCATGAGTGTTCTACCTTTGCAAAGCCTATTCCGTGGGTGCAAACACAGAGAGTTCTCTCCACCTGGCCATCACCTCTGTTCACAGACAACCAGCACTGACCCACGAAGAGCCACACGCCTCCTATCACATGCCCACTGTTCACCTGGATTGGATGGGAGTCGACAAACAGGTCATCTCAATGTTCCAAACACAGAACACATCCGCAAACACAGAACATGAGGTCCTTACCTCAGATACCTCGACATGTTTAAGGTACCAGTTCGGGAAGGGTCCAGAGCCGTCATGCCAGATGTGAACCCCCCACACAGAGCCCAAGCTGTCTGCTGCACTGTGGTGTCACAGAAAAGCATTAAGTAGTAACATGTGTATCATTGATTTTTATATCAATGCCTTATTTGTTTATCTTGTGAAAAATTATATTTGGGGATTTTACCTTAGTATAAATGTGTCCTGAGAGTTTCTCCTGAACAGAGTGCATCCTGGGACTTGTAATTCTCTTGTGTGAGAGAACCCATCTTCACCATACAGCACTATGTATACCTGATGAACATGCAGACACAAATAAGTACTGGACTCTACCTACCTGTGAGTATTGGTGCTGTTGAGGATGAATGAAAAACCAATGACGACATCACCTTGGCGCTCATACTGGCTGCAGAGAAGACACCAGTGTGGATGGTTACAGCATAAAGATGTGGGTCCAATGGAGAGTTGTCTGAAAGATAATGGACTCTCCCGTTCTTCCCTGAGACATCATCAGCTCTCTTACACGCCACCAGCCCAGGGATGTACAGGCACAGACACAGCACCATTACAACCAGCACAGTCAGATCTCGGGACACGCTGAAGAGATGGAGAGGAAGAGAGGACACATAGGAGGATGAAAAATCCCCAACATCTCTGTTTACTTAAATATGTCATTCAAGCCTGAGGAGGATGAGGTCACCTTAGTAACGGGTCCAGCTCAGCTGTGTCATGTCTGGTCTGGATCTGGTGCTGCACCACAGTCAGAGGCCTCAGCTGGTGACAACTGAGAGAAAAACAGCAAATACCAGAAAAATATGTTGCTTATCATCAGTGTCAGTGTTTGTTTCTCTCTTTGAAGGTCTCATGTCCATGTCTTACCTGCAGTTGACAGCAGATGTTGTGTCCTCTTGCCATGTCCTGCATCCCAGATGTGTCCAGGCCCCCTGGTGGCCATCCCAGTTCAAGCATTGACTGCTGACCACAGTGAGACTGTAGCTGATCTCTTCTCTCAGCTGCTTGTGTCTTTGCTCTTTTCCTAAATGAGCATTCAGCAGAGCCAGGTGACCGACCCCTGCAGCTGGAGGTGTGGAGATTTTAGTGTAAACAATCTGACACTTGTGCCACAAATACTCATCAACTCTCAGATATGTTTTTTTTTGTAAATCTCATCCTTGTCTATTAACTCAAAACAGAAAATATTTGTATTGTATTGTATTAACATTGATTATTATTCATTAACATTATTATTATTAGAATATAGTGTATAATAATACGTTAATACCATGCTGCAGTAAGTGCCAGTTATAAGTAGACAATGTATACAGCCTACACACTATACTGCCACTGTAATAATAGTATAACGTGTGATTTGATACAATTATTTAAGTCCTGTCATGACTTAGCGACGGCCATTTTCATTTTGGGCATGTAGAATCCTGTTGAGCTCTCACCTTTTATTTAACACAATACAGATTTGTTTAATTTGTTTTCAAACTATATTTAGAAAGCAAAAATAATTTTAGCTCAGATTTAGACTGTAGAGATGACAATATGTAATATATTAGACACTCTCTCCTCCAGCCTCGGTTAACTACTTCAGCTGAACAGATTTATTTATGTATTTAAATGGATGATTGATTATATACCTAATAGAATGATCAGTCATTTATGAAATGGAAACAACAGGAAGGAGAAGAAAGCTTTTACCGTTGAGGTAGGACGAAGGCAGAGTGATGCGTACGCTGTTGCTCTCCCAGTGATGAGTCCTTTGCAGATGGTGCATGCTGGGAGTCGGCCTCTCGAACATCCTGCCACGGCAGAGAGTCTTGGTTTGTCTCGCATTCTTACCTTTCACTCAAAAAATTACATTATTATGTTGCTCTGATTATGAGCATATACCAGTAAAACAATAATCCAAGTGTACCTGAAGAGCAGCATGATGGGAAACACTCTGTCGGGCGGCGGCGTGAACGCCAAGCTCAGCTGGATGACCTGCTGCAGATGGTCCCTGGTAATGTTGAAGCTGTGGTAGTTGACCTGGCTGCGGAGGAGGATGTACTCACGCACGGAGCTCTTCTGCAGTCACAGATGTGATCACGTGTTGGTGAAGTTAGGCTCAACAATTCAACTTTATTCATGATTCTTTGATAACTAATATTTTATCACGTTACAGGTCACCAACTTTCACCTAACAATGTAGAACAAGTGCAGTTAAAGGTACCCCATGGAGTTTTCATAATCTCATTATACATACACAAGGATGCACATGCATGTGGGTGGCTCAATACACAGACCGCCAGTAACGCACAAAAAAAGAGGAATTTGCCAAGAAAAGCAAAACAAATATGAATATAAACAATTTAGATTCAAATATTGCAAATGTTTTCTGAGGAAGTAAATGTAAACATAACCTTTGGTTTCAAGAAAACTCCACTGGGCACCTTTAAATACCTGCAAAGATCAGGGAGAATAAGCAACTTACGTTTCTTGGTGGATGTTGCAGCTCGACGTTGATCGGCTGATTGAGGGAACGAACAGGGATCTTTCTCCTCCCACTGCACTTGTACAGACTCAGGTCAACCACTGGTCCAGTGAGCTGCAAATCACCAGAGGGAACAAGAGACATGCCTCACTTCAAATTTACTGTAAGTCCCCCCTACAGTGAAAATCAAGTTTTTTAAAATGTTCCCAATGTGTCTTTTTAAAACATATTTTGGCTGAAATAACCAAGTATTTCCACCCTAACATTGCAGTAAATGAATGCAAGATGACCAGAGTAACTAAACAATAAGAAACCAATCCTGTCAACTTGTGGGTGGGGTGCAGTAGCTGGTAATGGTGCTTATACTAGAGTGCAGCTTGGGTCATAATTCTTATTGTCCAACACAATAGAGTCAGAGAGAAATCGAACCGAGCCGAACCTGACAGGTATGGCAAGAAGGCACGACATGAGAAATGAGGGTACAGGTTTACATGTAAGCTATTTTAAGGTAAATCTCTGTCATAAAAAAACTTTTGAATTCAGGGGAACTATAATCAACTGCTGCAGAGGAACTTAAATCTGTACATCATTGGCTTTCACCTGTGTGGGACTGTGGGCGCAGGTGTAAGGTTTGAGGGTGAGCTTGGTCAGCACGGTGAGCACACATGGCTGCTGCTGCGTGCTCCCTGCTGCTCCACTGCCATGAACAAACAAGAGCTGGATCAGAGAAGGAGGCATGTAGAAGGTAGTTGAGCCACTGCTGATGACCGTGGAGGTTTGGTTCTGGTATGCAGCGTATAAGGAGATGAGGCCTGTGCTGACTTTGTGCTGCTGGACCTTGTGCAAGAAAATGTACTTCTGCAAATAAAAGAGAATGGGTAAGAGTAGGGCGAGGTGGAAAAAACAGGGCTACCATGAAGGAAACTAATTTATTTTCACTCACCAGCATCAGGTCTGAGGCAGTCTGGAGAATATCATCAACAAGACGTGTCCTCTGCTTTGCTGAAATTGATCCTCCCTGTTTGATGGGATCACTGGATGCTGGTATGCAGCATCCAGTGATCCCTCTATTTACAGAGTCTGACTCCAGCACCTGTGTGATATTGTCCATGTTGGACAACTCAGGTGTGAGGTCAAGATCTGTGACAGCAGCCTGCAGAATGTACGACAGCAGGAGAAGCAGAGTGTCGAGTGTCTTATGGTCCAGATGATATCGGACTGAATCGCTGGACTCCAAAAACATGTCCGAGATGGCCCAAAAGTGAAGTGTCACATGTCTGACACTTGCTAAAGATACCTAAACAGAACAAAACAAGTAAACAAATGCATCATCTTTATTTCTTTGAGTGACTGTTTGTCCTGATAAAAGATGATCATCCTCCACCAACCTGATTTGTAACTTGTAAAAGGTCTTTTAAAATGCAGATGCTGTCAACCAGTGACTCCTGTGGATTGAATCACGTTGTTAAATATGTGAGAGGCAGATAGAGAGTGAGATAAAGTAGAGATTTGTTGAGAGAAAAACTGTGGTTGTGTTAATCTTGGAGTTTGTGTGTGTGTGTATGTACACGTGTGTACACGTGTGTGTGTGTGTGTACGTGTGTACCTGTTCCGCTGTACCGCTCTTGAGCTCACACACTGTGCAAATGAGCACATTACGCATGAGTCTCTGTGCGTGTGTGTTGGCCTTGGCCTCCAGGCCCAGTCTGTTCAGGACGGTGGCGACAAGACTGACGTAGTTACGAACCTCATGACTGTTCCCAAGCTGCAGCAGAGCCGACAGGTTCTTCAGACCTGCCGCTGACCTGGAGAGACAGTGTTACTGATACACAACAATATACTACACACACACACACACACACACACACACA